GACTGACTTGTTCAGATGATCAGCCACGACACGGGCTAACCGGCGGCACCGGCGGAGGCGGAGGAGCCCGGGCTGGTGCTGGCCGGGGCGCCGAGTGTCTTGTGACCCGCGGCGCCAGGCGTCACCGATTCTGGGCGGTGCCCGGCGGCGGACCACCGGCTGGCTGTTTAGATGATCAGTCACGACGCAGGCGGACCGGCGCGCCGGAGGGGCGGGGGTTCTTCCCCACGACCGTCGTCCGAGCTGTGCCTCTCGTGGTTCACGGGGTCCGTTTTGTCTGTTGTCGCCACCGCCGTCATGGGTCGACCGTCCACTTCTAGCTGTCGTCGGTTTCCACCATAAGCCGCTATCCGTCGGTCGGTCTCCACCATGAACCCTGGTGGTCCGCCATAAGCCCGGTCCGATCGCCGTCCGGTTAGTGCCCACCATAAACCGCCGTCCGTCGGTGAGTGTCCACTCTAAGCCGCGGTCCGTCGGACGGCAACGTCACGCGACGGACCGACGCGGCCGCCACCGCCGCCGCCACCGCCACCGCCGCTCAGTCGGCCGGCGGGGCCGTAGTCGGGTGCACGCGCTATGGTCGAGATGCGCGGCCACAGCGTGGACCGTCTGGACGAGGGGCGCAGCTCGGCGTCGGTGGCGTCGGACGCGTCTGGCGACGGGGCGCCGCGGCTCCGCGGCCGCCGCGCCCGCTCCGCCCAGCGCTACGTCGACACTAAGCCCAGGCGGCGCCATCGCGTGCTGGGCTCGGCCGGCAGCTCCCTCATCTCGATCCCGGCCAAGATCCAGCTGAGCATGCTCAACAGCGGCCTGATCCCCATCGGTAAGGCCGGTCCCGCCGCGCCGTCGGTCCGGTAACGAGCGCCCGGGGCACGGGTGCTGGTGGTGGTCCGGGTCCACCGGTATCGCTGTGGCGGTGGGTGCTGGTCCGTTCCCGCCGGTACCGCTGGACGGTGGGTGGTGGTCCGTTCCCGCCGGTGCCGCTGGATGGTGGGTGGTGGTCCGATCCCGCCGGTCCCGCTTTGGCGAAGGGTGGTGGTCCTGTCCCACCGTGGCGATGGGGGGAGGGGGGTCCGATCCCGCCAGTCCCATTGGGACGATGGGTGCTGGTCCGGTCTCGCCGGTACCGCTGGATGGTGGGTGCTGGTCCGGTCCCGCCGGTACCGCTGGATGGTGGGTGGTGGTCCGGTCCCGCCGGTACCGCTGGATGGTGGGTGGTGGTCCGGTTCCGCCGGTACCGCTGGATGGTGGGTGGTGGTCCGGTCTCGCCGGTACCGCTGGATGGTGGGTGCCGGTCTGGTCTCGCCGGTACCGCTGGACGGTGGGTGGTGGTCCGGTTCCGCCGGTACCGCTGGACGGTTGGTGCTGGTCCGCTCCCGTCGGTACCGCTGGACGGTGGGTGCTGGTCCGTTCCCGCCGGTGCCGCTGGACGCTGGGTGGTGGTCCCGTCCCGCCGGTCCAGCTGGGACGGTGGGTGGTGGTCCGATCCCACCGGTACCGCTGAACGGTGGGTGCTGGTCCCGTCCCGCCGGTCCAGCTGTGGCGGTGGGCGGCGGTTGGATCTAGTGATGTCAACCTAGGACCACAAATTTGGTCGACCGAAAACCGTTGTAAATCAGTTCTGTTTCAATTGGTGATAACAAAGAATCGGTCCATTCCTAGACAAACAGCTATTTGATTAAGCGCTTTTTATTAATCAAAGTTGGAGGTTATTGTACAACGGCGATAACTCACCATAACGAGGCAGTTTCATAAGCAGTCAAAATATAACAGTTTTATATTTTATATAAAAAGTAAAGCCCTTGAGCTTTGCGTTTGTCGCATTGTAAGTCGGGAGTTCTCATTTTAACAGAAATCGACCTGGCCAAGCAAGCTTGGCAACATGATTTATGCTATCGATGAACACGTCAATATAAAATGTACCACATTTGGGATCGCCGTTGTCAGTGAAAAGCTGCTCTAATATGTCTCGGAATGCAAGATCAATACACCACACTGCGCAGAGCGCATGACAGAACCATATGTGAGATTACAGTTATGTACATTTTAGGCCACCTTTCTCCAAAAAGGAAGATGAAATGTGCGCGTAAAACTAATAATGGGCCCCATGTGAAAGAAAGCGGAAAGTCCAGATATCTGGCTATAGCAACGGGCATCCCGCCATTGAGCCATCTCAAGCCAGAATGCTGAGGCGGTATATGTAGTCCAGTCCAGATATCTGGCTATAGCAACGGGCATCCCGCCATTGGTCCATCTCAAGCCAGAATGCTGAGGCGGTATATGTAGTCCAGTCCAGATATCTGGCTATAGCAACGGGCATCCCGCCATTGGGCCATCTCAAGCCAGAATGCTGAGGCGGTATATGTAGTCCAGTCCAGATATCTGGCTATAGCAACGGGCATCCCGCCATTGGGCCATCTCAAGCCAGAATGCTGAGGCGGTATATGTAGTCCAGTCCAGATATCTGGCTATAGCAACGGGCATCCCGCCATTGGGCCATCTCAAGCCAGAATGCTGAGGCGGTATATGGCATTGTGAGTGGATCTTGTCGGCTCATGGCAGGTTTTATGCGGCAGCTGACTATCGGTGAGATTGATCTCAACGGATGCCGCTCTGCAGGTGTGCGGCTTTTTGGGAGCTCGCGTGCAGCTCATCTAGTGGGCACCAGAACAAGCATTTGATTTGTGTCCTTTCTCAACATCACAAGATAGAATTGGAGTCATTGCGCGGTAGCGCAGACATTAGCGTAGAAATTACGTCCACTGGGCCAAAATACCCAATTATGTGAAGTCAAACCTTTTATGCTTGATAAAATTGCCAGTGGTATACACTGCGATTATTTGAGTGACGTTTTGTTTCGAGTGTTTTTTAATGCAGACATAGGACACCCAAGTAGCTATGATTTGAAATGTTTTTCGGTCCCATGGTACGCCTTCCGTGGGAACATATGTTAGTGTTACAAGTGCTGCGTTGCGCAATCGTGAAACTTACATGTTTAAATTTTTGAGCGTTGCAGATAATTGCGTGTAAAAATAATTTCGACATGTTTATGTCACCCGTTTATAATGTTTGTTTTAGTATGCGATTACACAATCATGCGCATGCAAGATAGATAGCTGAGCACTCGCTCTACAGGTCACCGTGCCGTTCATTCTGAGGTTGCAAATATCTGGTACATTTCACGGGGCAAACTGTGTGGACCTGGGCTTGACGTTAACCGTTCCATCACGTCAACTTGCAGTCGTGCATCATCAGTACATTGCAGTCAGGTCATGAGTGCTCGAACGTGCAGACACTCAGACACTGACGCATTCTAACAAGGCCGGCAACAACCTGCATGTGCCCAATTTTTATTTCACTTTTAAGCATCTCCATATGCCGGTCGATTCCGGGTCTCTCTCCCCGTACCCTCATACCCTGTAATTGTCGCCATGGTGACGTAAGTTTCACCATATAAATGGAGGCCCTATAAATTCGACGTATAAGTGAGGCCCCAGTGATGGACGGTATGGTCGTGAATGGGCACACCGATGAAACATCCACCACATCTCTGTCTCGCCGCGTACGGGATGTTTTCTCAACTGTCAATGCCAGGTGCCAAGAACTGGTTAGAACTGTTCAAGACTTAGATACTGTTTCACTGTTGATTCCAGGGTCAGTTCGAAAAACCTGGACATTCTTTTTAACACGACCTGTAAATCCACTTTAAGTGTTTTTAATCACACTTTCACTTTCAAGCTACTTTGTGCTTCACGTTTACAGCTGCAGCTATATGCTTTGAGCATAATGCATACGTGTTACGTTAAGACGTTTCCTTGGGTGGAATTTGCATCATTTCAAGCATCATTCAAGAATCATTTTGCGCATTTTCAGTTGAATGGATTTGTGTGCAATCTTAGGAATAACCGTTATGATGTCGTTATGACGCATGCCGTTCAGTGGATGATCGTCGCTATGGCGGGAGCTGAAGTCCGGTTGGGTGGGTTTAGGTGGGGGTGGGGGATGGGTGGGGGATTGTGTGACGATGTTGCAGTCCATGGTCTCATTTCCGCGGGATTGGAACGTTGTGACGTATTGTTTGGCTGCTTGCTCGCTTAACGATGCACGTTTTCCTTGTGTAGACATTTTTGTATTTCATAACCTGCAGAAGGATAGTAAGCGTCTCTCAAGTATACGCTTATAAGCTTCAAAAAGCAAATATGAACATTCTGTTGTTCATAACAACCAGTCGCACCCACGCTGATGCTTAAAATACGGGCAATGTGAAGGGTATCAATGACATGAGCCAGTTCCGTTACCGACCATAGCGTGCTGTCCTCCGCTGGCCAGAAGCTCGCTCAAATATTTGCCCAGTGAAATCCCTGTGCTCTAATGTTCGTGTCTCCTGATTAATCTGGACCGCGGCTCGGAGCTACATCCGGCCGGCGGCTTACTCTGGCCCACGGCGCAGCATGTTGACACGGTCCGATGCCTTCTGTTCGGGCCGACTGGCTGCCTGCGAGGGTCGGTGATCCTCCGAGAGGCGGCGGCGGCCGGGGTCCTGGCACGGCACAGCCCTCCCACACGGTCCGATACCGGCTGTCCGGCCCGGTCAGCAATATGTGATGGAGCAGTGCTGTTGCCGGGGGCCACAGCGCCGGCGGTCGTCTTGGATAGAGTCGCACTGTCTTCCGACACGCTGCGGTACCGTCTGTCGGAGCCGGTAGCCTGTGCGTGGGCTGGGGGTTGGCACAGAGACCGTCGGCCCCGGGCTCACGGCGGCTCCGGCGGACGTCTCACAAACGCATGTGTACTGGGCACCCCCTGGTCCGTCTGGCTTAGTCCAGCCCACCCGGTCTGGTGTGCGCACGGCAGATGCTGCGCGCCAGCTCGCTACGACACCGCGCCGACACGACAGCGTCATCTGAGCTGCCCCTGACGTGGCGACCGAGCACCGGCCCACCGCGCAGCCCGACGCTCCAAGCCGGTGATCGCTGCTGACAGAGCGTGTCTCCCCGCAGCCGAGGAGGACAAAGCGATCCGAGCCATTCCCAAGAAGCCCGTGGAGAAGGCCAACTTCATCAAGTATTGCGAGCAGCACAGAAAGTACCCGATTCTGTTCAAAGTCGAATTTCAGGTAAGTGGCCTCCTCGTTAGCTCGCTGGTTAACACTGCGGCCGCCGCCCGCAATTAGCGAACGGTGGAGCCAGCTGACGCTGAGCGCGGGACCCGGCCAGTGGGCTCCCCTCACAATGGCCGCTGCAGTATCATGCGGCGCAGCGGCCGGCCGCCAGCCCCTTTTGTTCGGCGCTCGTTGTCTTCGCTCCGACGGACCGGGCGGCCGCGCCGGCCCATTCAGCCGGCCTCGGCGCTCAGGCGACCTTGCCGACGGCGATCTGGGTCAGGATCGCGGGCGCGCACGGCCCGCTGGCCCACATTCGGTCGCCGCGGGAGACGGACGGACGGACAGGCGGGGGGCGAGCGCCGCGCTGCGGGCGGCCCATGCGGCCCCGGCGGCGGGCCGCAGCACCAGACACAGCTCGGCCTTTGTGAGAGACGCGTCAACACCGACGGATAGGAGCCGCCCGGTAAACGGCCGCCGACTGGCCGGGGCCGGGGCGGTGCCGGCGGCGGCCATGACCTGCCGGGCTGGGTCGGCCGTCGCCGGCCGGCGCCGCGGTGCGCGACCTGGCGACAGCTGCCGGCCGGCCGGCGCCGCGTGCTCGGCCGGCACTCTGGCGGCGGCCGCGCCGTTGTTTGTGCGCCGGCCGCGTGCCGCCGCCGGCGACACCGCCCGCTGGATACGTCAGCCGGCCGGACCGCGAGCCGGCATTTGAGTTGGCAGCCGGCGGCGCCGCCGCTGCCAGCGCCGGTGCTGGGTGCCGGTGCGCGGCCTGCGGTTCGGAGGGCGCCGCCGCCGCCGCCGCGCCCGACGCAGCGGCCGGCCGGGCGCGGAGGCGGTGCCGGCGGCGACGCTGGCTGCCGTGGAGGGCCGCCCCGCCGCGGGGTCGTGGCCCCGAGAGATGATCGCCGTTGTCTCGGGACCGGACAAAGGCGCGGCCGTCCCAGCCTCATGGCTTCGTTCTTGGCAGTTCTGTTCCAGATAAACCAGCCTAGTCTCGGCAGAGTTATAGGGACGTCATGATGGCGGGCCTCGTAAATCTTTTCATTTAGATAAGTTTATCTGACGATGCATGCAATTGCAGGCCATTTAGTAACCCGTTCATCACAGGCGTTGGCGAGCTGCAATGTTGCTGGCTGTGGGTCGCCGTTATTTGAAAAGATGCCATTTTAGTATAACAAATTGTGGGTTTTCCGAGCGCATTCTTAAGGCCTTTAGTCTTGGACAAAGGAGCTAGAGAGTGAGAGGAGCGCTCACAAGTGACATGTTACGGTTTTGTTACCCGCCGGCTATCTCCCAACACAGAATCGCCATGTGGACTGATGTCAACTGACTGGGTGCCGCGTGTTGTGCGACACCGACGATGCGTTTATTGTGTTACAAACCTTTGCCGCGCTGTTTGTATTGCTTATGCTGATGCTCAATTTGTTAATCCTGAAATGCATCACTACGCAATCTCAGACCTTCGTAACACTTCTTGTCGTGGGCGTATAATATGCCGTGGAGGGAGTATTGTAAATAGCTGGCGCTGGTAAACCACTGGTCGATGCGTTCTTCTGGTGAAAAGTACACCGATGGCGGCGGGGAAGAAGTATGTAGTTCAAATCATCGAAGTGTGCAACGAAACAAAATCTCTCAGATCTCAAGATCAAAACCGAAAGCTCTCAAGAAAGCTCGGGTTGGGCGATGCGTGACATTTGCCAGACGTGCGTTTTGCTTTCCTTTTTCCTTTTGCTTTCCTTTGTTCACAACACGCGTTCTGCGGAACGCGTGTTGTGGACAAACACGTGTCATTAAATTTCGAACGCAGGTGACCGACGAGACATTGATGAGTCCTAAGATAAATTGCTTATGACAGTCTTCAAATTTTCACAGGAGGTGTGGAAATGTTCAAAACTCTGTCGTGCGGAGCGTCAGCGGTATGCGTTTAGTGACTGAAAAGTCTCCGGGAGTCCCGAGGAGCCTCCCTCGTCCGGCGAGGGCTAAGTGACGGCGCGGTCTGCTGGGGTGCGCTGGAGCGTTCTTTAGGCACTTGAGTCTCTCACGTAGCTAACGATGCCCATCCTCGGACGAGGAGGACATGGCGAGAACGTAAAGCAGGTTCGTTGTGAAGGAGAAGTCGCAGCGCGCGGGTCGGCGCAGTGGTCACACGTACCAACATATTTATGCGCGGCGTCCCTGTGTGCAAAAGAAACAATGCACGGTAAGATGCACACAACTGTTTTCGCGTGCTCATTCACATTCCGGCAAGTCATTTACATAGCCGAGTGCCGATGCCGCTTCACTGCGACACTTGTGCAGCTGCCTAAATAAATCGTAGTCGGCCGTGTCAGCTCCACCACCTGTGTTGTGTGACGAGATAAACGCGTTTGAAACACATGGTCGGCCTCGCCTCCGGTCACCCACTCTCCGCAGTCCGCGTCGGACAGCGGGGAGCGTCATTGTTTTGTCGAGTGCGCGCGGCCTCTGGCTCCGCTGCCACGAGCGGGCGCGGCGCCTTCGTGTGTCTTATGTTTGTGTTTGTTTTTGCGGCGGCCCGGCGCCACTGGCGCCCCGTGCGCCCCGTCCCGGCCCGCTGTTTCTGAAACGCTTCGGCTGTTGACGCGTGGCTCCGGCTGAGCGGGGAGACGAGTGCCGGCGCCCGTGCTGCGGCCAGCGCCGGGTCGGTCCGCGCGACCTGCCGGCATCCTGATGACGGAGCGACTCGTGTCTGGCCAGTGTCCTCACACGGCAGACACGGCTGCGTCTGGCCGGTGTCCTCACATAGCAGACCCGGCTGCGTCTGGCCGGTGTCCTCGCATAGGACACCCGGCCGCGTCTGGCCGATGTCCTCGCATAGGACACCCGGCCGCGTCTGGCCGGTGTCCTCGCATAGGACACCCGGCCGCGTCTGGCCGATGTCCTCGCATAGGACACCCGGCCGCGTCTGGCCGGTGTCCTCACACGGCAGACCCGGCTCGCGTCTGGCCGGTGTCCTCACACAGCAGACCCGGCTGCGTCTGGCCGGTGTCCCCACACAGCAGACCCGGCCGCGTCTGGCCGGTGTCCTGACGCGCGCCGGCCTTGTGGCGGCTCCTTGACATCATCCGGCGCGGCCGCTGGTGACAGGCCGGTCCGCCCGACCCGCGTCGTGTGTCGCACCGCGCACCATTAGTCGAGCGGCGGCCACCCGATGCCGGCGATACGGCCGGCCTGGCGGGCCAGCCGGACAGGTGCGCGCCGGGCCGCGGCCCAGCTGGCCCTGCGCGGCGCCCTGATCGCCGAGCAGTGGCAGCGCGGCGCGGCTGGGCTCGGCTCGGCTCGGCTCGGCTTCAGATCTCAGATGAACCGGCCGCAGATGCCGTCCGCGGTCTTCTCCTTGGCGTCCTGACGGGCTGCTATCGACCGACGCCCGGAATGTCGCGGCAGCGGCCGGACGGGCGGCGTGTGTCGCCGGCAGCTTGTGGCGCAGCTGGGCTCGCTCGGCTGTCAGGTACCGGCCGCGGGGCGTGGCGCCGCGCAGCCGACACGCAACCGGCGGAGCAGCCGCGGAGATGTGTGTGTCTCTCGATGTCTGCGTTGTTTATCTGACGATGTGTGGGTTGGAGTAGTCACTGCGGTCACTGCCTGGCGACGTTATCGGCCGGTTTGCACGCAGTCAGTACTAAAATGGGCCTGGCTGTCGGTGCTCCTGAAACCTACGATGTTCGCTTCGTCTCCGGAAGTTGTGCGGCCCAATGTTCATGGCGTTTGTCAGCCTCTAACCGGGCGTCTCTCCACAGCATGCAGGGCGAATCGAGCCGCACCCCTCGCGTCACGGCAGCAAACCGTGCAACGAGACCAAGAACCAAAACCAGAAGATGGTGCCATGTGAGTACTTGGTGGTGGCCCCCGCCTGCGACGTTCTGGCATCTAAAGACTGTTACTGGGAGTCGAGCCCAGTCGGGCTGGTGACCCATCTGCTGCGGCTCCAAGCTGCGTTAATGCAATCGCGCGTACAGTAATGGTCATTTGTTTCATACTCACGTCTGTTATGTTCAAATGGGCGTGACTGGCGTGAAAGGGTCAATACTGCTTAGCTTGTTCCCAGTGCACCATGTTATCTCACGAAGCTGTCGTGGCGACTCATGTCTTGGTCAAACTGACCAGCCAATCTGTAGGCCACTCAGCTGTGTACCGGCCAGCTGCGTCGCACACGGACTGACCGCGCCTCCCGTGCCGCCCGTTGCCAGACGACTACAACCGGGTGGTGCTGGACATGCTGCCGGCCGAGCCGGAGCCCGTCGACGAGGCCGAGTCCGACTACATCAACGCTTCCTACGTGGACGTGAGTGGCATTATGGGGGATGGAGGCTGGGGGCGAGCGTGCCGGTCGCCGACGGTGCTTTAACGGGCCGCACCGGGCCGGACGAGGCGGTGCGCTCCGAGTCGGCGGCGGCGGTGGCTGTCGCTGGCTGGGATTCGGAGCGGGGCGGAACGCTGGCATTGGCGGCTCATTGTTCAGGTTTTGCGTCGCCGCCGCGCCTTGCCACGCCGCCATTGTCTCCGTGCGCCGTGTTCGAGAGCGGGAGGAGTCCTGGTCGCGTCGGTGTGAGGCCCCACCGCCGGCCAAACCGCCGGCCGTCGCAGAAACCTCCTCCCTCCCCCTCCCCCCTGAGCCTTTGATGCTATCTCTGCGTGGGCGCTCCACGGCGTTAGTGCTACAGCAAGAACTCGTACCAATAAGAGTGCTGCCTTTCTACTGACAGTACTTAAACACGACATTATTTCGACGCGTCAAGACCTGTCCTCCGTCATTACTTCTACTGCTAAAACTTAGGCAGTCATGACTTGTACACATTACTTCTACCGCAGACTTCAAGGGAAATTAGTGCTACACGCCAAAGTTATACTTCAAGAACGTATACCTATTATTACTGCTGCTGCAAAAACTTATAGTTCAGCGATGTACATCTGTCATTGTTTCTGCTGCAGAAGCTTATACAGCTTTTACGCTCACCTAACATTACTTCTACTGCCAATACTTAGCCACTTAATGGAAAATGCGTGCACACCTAGCGGCGACTTAGGAATAACTGGCAGGTTACTGGGCAATACTGTAATAAACACTCCGTGGTGTCGACACGAAAAAAGAATCATCCGTCATATTTCGTCATTTTTTCGATTTGCGGTGCTTTGCGTATGAGCGAAGGCTGTCATTTTGTTTGCAGAATTTCAATGAGGAACACAACTTTCTGAAACAATAATTCTCTTGTGTAGCACTAGGGCCTTATTTTAGTCATTGTAGTGGAAACCATGTTGCCTTTTAGTGAACACCAGGCCAGGGGTGTAGTTAAATATTCTGTCGCCGCCTCCATCCACGCCTTATCTGTGATAGGGGCGTGTCTCCATTATTTAAGCATGAGTCCGTGACCTTCGCGGCGAGCGCCGTGTTTGATGTGGTTAGTGCCAAGTTTGGCTGTCGTTTTTCCAGTTAAGTCCCCAAACCCTTTTTTGGAACACCACTCCAGTGTCCCATACGTTTTTCCAGCACATGAAATGTCGCGTGGAGCTTTTACCGCCGTTGGTCGCTCGATCACGTTATTTACACCAGCAATACTGCATCGATGCCGTGGAGTGGGCACATCTAGTTCGATTTCGTCCGTCCAACTGTACCCATGCGTTCGCTTCATCTGGGATTTTGGTGAGGCTTAAACTGTGGTGCGGAAGAATTGACGGGTATAATGTATGGAGTTTGACCTGTATCACACGACAAAAAAATTGTGCACAGGTATTGCCGGTCGAAGTAATTTCATGTATTAGTAGAGACCAGAAATGTTTGCAGCATTACGTTTTGTCGTTTTTATTACGTTACGCATTCACTACGTTTTTAGTATTGCATGGCACAAAAGTCACGTATAGCTCGTTACCGTGGAAGTAAGATCACTTGTAAGTAAAGGCCATTGTATGGTTTTTGCCTTTGTAGTATTGATTGATTTACGTGTTTTTGCAGTTTAAATTCGGTCGTGGAAGAGTTTTTTCAGTGGAAGCGATGTCGTGTATAAGTAAAGACTAGTGTTTTGTTCAGCAGATGCCATGACAAGTATATGTATTTGAAGTATACATTTTGCCATTTCGCGCTCATGTCGCGTACCTGGGATGTCATTTGGCGCACGACATCACCTCTACTGTCCTGGTTCCCAATACAACTGAAGTGGCATTTAATTAAGTAAAATCCCTAGACTTTTTCGCAGTAGACGTAAAGCCGTGTAGAGCCGATTCTGTAGCACTCCCGTCGGTGTTAGTTTTGCCGTAACGGGACGATGTTGTCCAAGTGTAAGGACAGCGTCCGCTTGCTGACTGCGACCGTTCGCGGCCCTCGTCACGTCTCGAGGGCCTCACAAGGTCTTCGCACTGGCGAACACCGCCTCCCTCCTCGCCGTCCGCGACCCTTGTCACGTCTCGAGGGCCTCACGAGCTCTCCGCACTGGCAGACACCGCCGCCCTCCCCGCCGTCCGGGGCTCTTGTCACGTCTCGAGGGCCTCACGAGCTTTCTCCGCACTGGCAGACACCGTCGCCCTCCCCACCAAGCGTGAGCCTTGTCACGTCTCGAGGACCTCACGAGCTCTCTCCGCACTGGCAGACACCGTGCCCCCCCCCCCCCCCCCCCACCGAGCGCGAGCCTTGTCACGTCTCGAGGACCTCACGAGCTCTTTCCGCACTGGCAGACACCGTCGCCTTCCCCACCAAGCGCGGGCCTGGCCACGTCTCGAGGGCCTCACGAGCGCCTCACGAGCTCTCTCCGCACCGGCGGACACTGTCGCCCTCCCCGCCAGGCGCGGGCCCGGCACCAGGACGATAGGTTTGAGTGTGAGATAGCTCACCGGACCCCTGCCGCTGAGTCGGAGCGACCCCCGCCCCTGTCTCGTGTGTGCGTGTGCGTGTGCGTGTGCGTGTGCGTGTGCGTGTGTGCGTATGCCAGGGAAAGGCGGCTGCGGACCGGGCTGTCCGATATGGACGCCGTAGAATGCTAGTAGACAATCCTGGTCCGGATGCGCCGATAGCCAAACAGCCCACAGACAACGCCACCGTTTCTTTTTGTGCTTTGTTTTGACAGGGACTGGTAGTTTGATGGGGTCTGCTGTGGATGTCATGTTTTGACATCGTCGGTGCGCGCCGAAATTTGATCAGTGAGACTTCCCGACACAACTTCCAGTCCGTAGATAATGTGCCGTTTCTTTAAGTTCTGAATGTGCTTATGAAAACTTTGAATCACCTGCAAGTGATGGCCAGCTGTGTTTTGTGGTCGAATAAATTGCGTGCCGTTTTCGAACGTTAGTTTGTGGTGTGGTGAACCTCGTGACGCTCGACATTTGCCACGAACAGTTTGCTTTGGGGGCGGGGTGCTTTGTCATTCTGAAGGCGTGCATTAGTCTCGGAAGGCAAGTTCGATGGCGCAAATGATGGTGTGAATGTCGCGGTGAGTCTGGCGGCGCCGAGCCGGCTCCCGGCGGCGCGTCGCGATCGATGGCTGTTTGGCTCGGTCGTTTGGGTCGCAGCAGTTGGGTCCTCCAACCATTAGCGTGGCTTGCTGGATGATGACAATCCGGCCACTCGCCTGGCTGATGTCAGCCGGGGGCGGCACTGAGCCTGACGTCCTCGCCATTAAGCGCGCGGGGCCGCTGGAGTGGCATTATCCTTACGCATTGAGTACTTTCGCCATCCCCAGGGGCCATTGACATTTGTCCTATTATGTGGTTACGGGCTTGGTTTCCTGGAGGGGACGCGTGCTAGTGGTTCCGAGTGGGCACAACCTGTTTTGGACAACTTCTTCTCAAATGGATCGTCGTGGCGAACTTCTGTTTCCGTGTGGTCATTCCGCTGACAACGCGTGGTTGTGATGCAGCTGGTGCTGCGCCCGCACGGTACTGGCTACAGTGCGGAACACTGATCTGCGATGGCTGCGCCGCACCGGACACTGATCTGTGATGCTGCGCCGCAACCGGACACTGATCTGTGATGCTGCGCCCGCACCGGACACTGATCTGTGATGCTGCGCCGTCGCCGGACACTGATCTGTCGATGCCTCGCCGGACCGGACACTGATATGTAGCGCTGCGCCGCACCGGGCACTGATCTGCGATGCTGCAACCGCGCCGCACCATACCGGACACTGATCTGCGATGCTGTCCGCACCATACACTGATCTGTGATGCTGCGCTGCACCGCGCACTGATCTGTGATGCTGTGCCGCATCGCTCGGCTGCTGCGCGCCGGACACTGGTCCGTGATGCTGCGCCGCACCGCACACTGGTCTGTGATGGCTGTGCCGCCTCGCACGGCTGCTGCACCGCACCAGACACTGGTCCGTGATGGTGTGCCGCATCGCACACTGGTCTATGATGCTGCACACCGCACACCGATATGTGATGCTGCTGCCGCGCCACACGACTCCGTCGTCCTGCCAGCAGAGCTTGCTGAAGCCGACGCCTACATCGTGACACAGGGCCCCAACGAACGCACGCTCAACGACCTCTGGCGCATGGTCTGGAAGGAGAACTCGCCCTGCATCGTCATGCTCACTAAGACGTTCGACTTTATCAAGGTGAGTCATCTCCAGAAGATGCAGGAGCGGAGCCGACGAATGCTTGTCTTATCTTTACCAGGTCGTGGTGTTGATTCCCAGCGCCAGATGTGTTTCGATTTCCTATGAATGGGTCGTGGTTTTGATGATCAGTTCCAGATATGTTTCGGCCTGCTCGCTGCAATTGGCTTGACGGATAAGACTGCTGATGCAGGCATGCCGCGACATGGATACTGCGGATGGTTGTATGGTGCCGTGAAATGATCGACCACTTCCTGGAAAGTGAGCCCGATCACCGAGCACAGCACCCCCGGCACCCGCGGCCGGCAACCTAGCGCCCCCCCCCCCCGCCCGTCCCTCGACGTGGGGATGGCCATAGTTGGCCCCGCTGTAGCCGTGTTCCGTCTGGTCTGTCTATTCCGCTGTCATGCGGAACCCACGTGTACTGAGACCGTCTCGGCGTTTTCCGGCTTAATGATTGGCCGACGCCTGTACGGCCCGTCGCGGTCCGTTCAACGTCATGCCTAGCCCACGTTTGCCCGAGCTGCCGCGACCTATTCGCCGTAATGGTGGGCGCGCGCTCCGCCCCGTCCCGGTGGGCGTGCTGGCGAGGCCTGTGTTTGCTCGTAGCGCGGCGTGGTTGAGGCGTGACGCGCGCCCATCGGGGCCACGTTGCCCGCTCCCCGCTGATCGGAGCCGGCGATGTGGCCGGGGCCTCCACCGAGCCGAGCGGCCGGGCCTCCACCGGAAGCGAGGTCGGGGCCGGTGTTGTGTGGCGCCGCCCGGCCGGCCGGCCTCGTTGACGGGCGGTGGCGCGGCGCCGCGCTGTCGGCGGCGCGGCCGTGTTATGACCCGCTGTCGTGACGGATCAGCGTATCGCGCTCCCGGGCGGATAAAGAGCGACGGCAATGGCGCCGCGGGCGCGGCCGCGCATTGGTTCCGGCCGCTCGGACTTTCCCGACTGGGTCCTGCCGACTGCGACGGAGCAGCGGCCCCGGGCTGGGACGAGCCAGGTCCGTCGCCTGATGTGAAGCGCCGGCGGGAGCGGGTATCCGGCGTGACTGCGGGTACACCTGGCCGTCCAGGCGGTGCTGTGATACCTGGATCATCGGGGCACGCCTGGCCGTACAGCCGGTGCCGTGATACCTGGATCAGCGAGGCACGCTCGACCGTCCAGCCGGTGCCGTGATACCTGTATCATCGGAGCACGCCTGGCCGTCCAGCCGGTGCCGTGATGCCTGTATCATCGGAGCGCGCCCGGCCGTCCAGCCGGTGCTGTGATATCTGGATCATCGGAGCACGCCCGGCCGTCCAGCCGGTGCTGTGATACCTGGATCATCGGAGCCCGCCCGGCCGTCCAGCCGGTGCCGCGATACCTGTATCATCGGAGCACACCCGGCCGTCCAGCCGGTGCCGTGATACCTGTATCATCGGGGCACGCCCGGCCGTCCAGCCGGTGCCGTGATACCTGGATCAGCGAGGCACGCCGGCCGTCCAGCCGGTGCCGTGATACCTGTATCATCGGAGCACGCCTGGCCGTCCAGCCGGTGCCGTGATGCCTGTATCATCGGAGCGCGCCCGGCCGTCCAGCCGGTGCTGTGATATCTGGATCATCGGAGCACGCCCGGCCGTCCAGCCGGTGCTGTGATACCTGGATCATCGGAGCCCGCCCGGCCGTCCAGCCGGTGCCGCGA